GATGAGTTGCATGGATCCTGTATTTTCTCTAAAATCGACTTGAAAAGTGGGTACCATCAAATTAGAATGAAAGAAGGTGATGAGTAGAAAACAACCTTTAAGACTAAGTATGGTTTGTATGAATGGTTAGTAATGTCATTTGGACTTACAAATGCACCTAGTACGTTTATGTGTTTAATGAATCATGTGTTGCATGCATTCATAGGTAAGTTTGTGGTTGTGTATTTTGATGACATTCTAATCTATAGCAAGAACTTAACTAAGCATCTTGATCATTTACGTAATGTACTTAGTGTGTTGCGTAGTGAGAAATTGTATGCTAATCTTAAAAAGTGTGCGTTTTGCATAGAGAAAATTGTGTTTCTCGGCTATGTTGTAACTGCACAAGGTATCAAGATGGATAAGGAGAAAGTTAAGGCCATCCGGGATTGGCCTACACCCAAATCGGTAAGTGAGGTAAGGAGTTTTCATGGGTTAGCTAGTTTTTATAGACATTTTGTGAAAGATTTCAGTACAATAGCTGCACCCTTGAATGAAGTTGTTAAAAAGTGAGTTGGGTTTAAATGAGAGGAGGAACAAGAATTGGCTTTTGTTCTTTTGAAAGATAAATTATGTTCTGCACCTATTTTGGCTTTACTGGACTTTACAAAAGCATTTGAAATAGAATGTGATGCATCTAGAATGGGAATAGGTGTTGTTTTGATGTAGGATCAGAGACCTATTGCATATTTTAGTGAGAAATTAAGTGGAGTGACCTTGAACTATCCCACTTACGACAAAGAACTCTATGCATTGGTAAGAGCACTTGAGACATGGCAACATTACTTGTGGCCAAAAGAGTTTGTAATCCATTCGAATCATGAGTCCTTGAAACATCTGAAAAGACAAGGTAAGTTGAATAGAAGGCATGCAAAATGGGTTGAATTCATTCAAACTTTTCCTTACGTAATCAAGTATAAGCAAGGCAAAGAGAACATCGTAGCTGATGCACTTTCGCGCAGGTATGTTCTTTTACACGCAATGAATACTAGATTGCTAGGCTTTGAATATGTGAAGGAATTGTATGATATTGATTCTAACTTTGCGGAGATTTATAATACATGTGGACATTTGACTTTTGGTAAGTTTTATTTGATGGATGGTTATTTGTTCAAAGAGAATAGATTGTGTGTTCCTGCTAGTTCTTTGCGTGAATTGCTTGTTCGTGAAGCACATAGAGGTGGTTTAATGGGTCACTTTAGGGTTGCGAAAACCTTAGATGTATTGCATGAGCATTTTTATTGGCCAAAGATGAAAAGAGATGTGCAACGAATTTGTGAACAGTGCATTGTTTGTAAAAAGGCAAAATCTAGAGTACAACCACATGAGCTATATACACCATTACTTGTGCCTACTGAACCTTGGGTAGATATCTCTATGGACTTTTTTTTAGGTTTACCTAGGTCAAAGAAAGGTAGAGACTCTATTTTTGTTGTGGTTGATAGGTTTTCTAAAATGACGCATTTCATTGCATGCAATAAAACAGATGATGCATCTCATATCGCAGACTTGTTTTTTAGAGAGATTGTACGTTTGCATGGCATTCCTAAAAGTATAGTGTCAGATCGTGATGTTAAGTTCCTTAGCTACTTTTAGAAGACCTTATAGGGAAAGTTGGGAACTAAACTCTTATTTTCGACAACATGTCATCCTTAAATAGATGGACAAACTGAGGTAGTGAATAGAACATTATCCCAACTTTTGCGTGCTATAATTCAAAAGAATTTAAAGAGTTGGGAAGAATGTTTGCCTTTTGTTGAGTTTGCTTTATAATAGAACTGTGCTTTCGATCACTGGTTTTTCTCCATTTGAAATTGTTTATGGTTTTAATCCACTGACTCCTATGGAGACTTTACGCTTCTAAAGCAAATAAGGGATGTAAAGTGGTTGTTTTTCAGCCTAGTGATTGGGTTTGGGTGCATATGTATAAGGAATGATTTCCTAACCAAAGGAAATCAAAACTACAGCCTCGTGGTGATGGTCCATTTCAGGTTTTAGAGAGAATCAATGACAATGCATACAAAATTGACCTTCTAGGTGAGTATGATGTTAGTGTTACCTTTAATGTTGCTGATCTTACGTTGTTTGACATAGATTTTGATTTGAGGTCGAATCCTTTCGAGGAGAGAGGGGATGATGTGGACCAGCCCAAAAACACCAGCAAGGACCTATTACACGTTCCAAATGGTCCAATGACTCGGTCCAAGATAAAGGTATTGAAAGAGGCATTGAATGCATTGGTTTTGAATGTTTCAACCAAGTTAGAATTGAAAGGTCTATTAGAGTATCAAGAGGAGACCCTAGTACATCTTATCCATGTGCAAGAGGGGTCCAACATAACCTTATTTAAACCATGAGTTGAGGACAACAAAGGAAACAAAAGAATCCTTCTACAACTTGGAAACAACATAGGTGGCTACCTTTTCCTTTTGTTTCTAGGATTAAGGGGCTGTATGGAAGGCTATAAATAAGCCTTGAATCAATTCTATAATATTTTACTTCCTTTTCTTTTTCTCATGGCAGAACATGGATTTAATATTTTGGGTTTTGTTTTATTTTGTTAGCTACAACCCAAAGCTTGTTTGGGCTTAATTAATACTTTGTTTTTAGTTAGGATCCAAGGCTTGTTTGGATTAAGTTAAGGCCTTTTCAGTTTAGGGTTTTAAGTCAATTTTAAGTGGACCTCATTTAAGTTCACATAAGGGGTCCATTAGGGTTAACTTTTCAAGAACTATTTAAACTCATGTAAGCCAAAATTTCAGCAGCTTTTGAATGATAATTACTTCTGAATTTTTTTTTTTCAGTTTTAACGTGTGAGAGTGATTCTTACATTCTTCAGTTTTTGAATGAACTAAATCTTACTTATCGAAGATTAAGAGTGTGTTTGGTATTGTGGTAGCTGTTTGTGGTTGTGGTTTGAAAAAAGTTGTTTTATAAAAAGTACTTTTAGTTTAGGTTGGTTTGAAAAAATAAATGTTTGGTTAAAACTGTGATTGAAATTGAGGTTGAAGAAAAAATAGTTTAATGTGTTTGGTTAAGAATGCTTTTGAAATTGAGGTTATAAAATAATTTTAAAAAATATATATTAATATTGATAGTTTTAAATTTAAATATTATAGAATTAATTACTCCTATTACATCATGAAATAAATAATACTTGATATAAAGTATTTTTTATTATTTCATTAAACTATTTACAATTCCATCATGTATAAATTTCATCCAACAAAAACTACAATTTTCATGACTTGCAACAAATTCATAAATATAATGTGGTGGTTGACGCACACCAACACATTCGGTAGTGTTTTATTATTCCATTAAAAAGATAAAAAATTATAAAAAATAATTAATTAAGAAAACACACAATTCTAAATATCACAAAAACATATTCATAATTACTACTTAATTTCAAAACATAAATCAAAGAAACACACAATTCTAAATATCACAAAAACCTATTCATAATTACCACCTAATTTCAAAACATAAATCAAAGTGTTAGGTCCACACATATAATAAATTATATATATATATATATATAATAAAACTAATTAATTATTAATATCTTTTTATTTTAAAAATTATTTATTTATTCTCTATGTATTTTTTTGAAATGAATTAAAAATTAAAATATATTTTTTTATAAATAATATACAAAATAAATTAATCTTTTAAATAAATTTTATACGAGAAATATATCTCTTTTCCAAGTTATCATAATTTTTTCTAAAATAGTAATAAGATTATGTCATTATCATACTTATTTAATATAAAAATATCATAAGAAAACAATGACATCAACTAATTTGGAATCCCTGCATTCAAAAGCTTCTCTTTCTTTAGTTTCATTCTCTACTTTCCATGTTTTTTAATCAGTAGCCACGGTAAAAGTAAGACAGACTTGCTTTAGACATTCTTGTGTTTGGAATACATATTTATGTGGGATCCATGCATAAAAAAATATGGCTTGTTGTTAACCAAACACATTGTAATTGTAAATGCAGCTAAACGTGAACATAATCGCGTAAACAAACAAAGTTTAACTAGTTTCGTGACGTCATTCTACTCAATTCAATAATGTTGGTGTCTTAAGGCAAGTTTTCATTGTGTCACACTTCTATCAGACCTATTTCGGCTTTCCGGGATTAGATCTCAATCTTGATTGTGGGTTATGTGACTACGTGATCATAAGATTCGCATCAACTGCTTACAAATTTTTAATTGCTAATGTGAATGAGATAAAAAAAATCAAAACATACATGAAATAAAACTACAATTTTGATATAAGGAAACATTTCATATTTTACAAAGGATATTATATTATTATATTATATGGTCATATAAATTCTTAAAAAGATTTTTTTGTTTCCCTTAAAGAAGGATATTATTAAAATTTTAATAAATATGAGTAATGTTTTTTTTAATCTTGAAAATAAAAAAATTATATATATATATATATATATATATATAAATAAAAAGAGATGGTTAAATTTCCTAGGATAAAAAGGGAAGGTCGAGAATGAAAAGACCTAGATAAGTATTGCAGAGGCCCAAAATAAAAGAAGGCATTTTAGTAAATCCAAAACCCTAAAGAAGCAGAGCCTAGGGTTTCACTATAAATATATCATGAACTCCCCCCGTCTTCTCTGTTCACCACGTCAGTCCTCCCCCATTTCGGCAGCTCCCATCTAAAACCGTAAATATAGCAGGTCTCTCTCTCTCTCTCTCTCTCTCTCTGTCTCTCTGTCTTTCCCCCTCTCTCTCTTTCTCTCAATATCTATTTATATTTGTTTCAAAGACTGAGTATGGAGATTTTGGATCTCGTGTGCTGCATGTGCAGGGAAAGAAGAAGAAGAGAGGATTTGAAATGGCGACAGTACCAGGACAACTGATATGGGAGATAGTTAAGAAGAATAACTCATTTTTGGTGAAGCAGTTTGGAAGAGGAACTGCTAGCCTTCAGTTTAGCAAAGAAAACAACAATCTCTACAACCTTAACTCTTACAAGCATTCTGGTACTCTCTTTCTTTCTTATAGTGTTGTGGAAAGGAGCTGTGTGTTTGAGATTTTGTTTGATCTAACATTACTGCTTGATTTAGTTAATTTATAGAGTTGCGTTGTTTCTATGTTTTGTTTTGGAATTTTTTTTTAAGAAAATTAAGATTCGGAATGGAAAATTAAGCATGGTGGTCCTGGACAGATTTTTTCTGTATCTCCTTAGCAAAACAGAAGAAAATAGATAATTGATATTTGTTTGATTGATGGTTCCTGACTTCGTTATATTTGGTTATTCAATAAATTTTGAAATCATATAACTGAGAATTTGCTTTTATTTTATCGTGCTAAAACAGGGTTGGCAAACAAGAAAACTGTCACTATTCAGCCTGCGGACAAGGATCAAGCTGTGGTTCTTGCTACAACCAAGACCAAGAAGCAGAACAAACCTGCAGCTTTGCTTCACAAGTCTGTCATGAAGAAGGAGTTCAGCCGCATGGCCAAGGCTGTGGAAAACCAGGTAATTAGAGGTCTTTCATTATTTAGTAATGCTTTGAATGTTTATTCACATATTATGAGTTCCTAACATTGTTTCAGTTGTTTGTAAATGGTTGACGACTGAGTTTTTGTTCTATCCTATGAGAATTTATTTTGTTTTTGCCTTTTAACACAAAGTAGTTTAAATTCCTACGTTGACATGTGATGAAATGTCTCATTTTACAAACAAGATCAAACAACATCACCTTTTTGTTCATGCGCTTTCATTATGAAGAGATTTGGTTTTCTTTGAAAATGAAGCACCCTCTTCCTATTTTTAAGGTGCTATATTGATTTTATTCACTTGTGCCTGCTTTTAATATTTCAAAGCTACTTCAAATATATTGAACGGTTTCTTAGAAATTTTATATTTAATACTTATTTTATATTCAAGATGGAAATTATATGCATGTTTTGAACAACCAACTTTCTCAAGTCATGGATTTCTGTGCAGTGATGAGCTGTTAACATGAAAAAGAGCCTTTTTGTAGTGTTTCTTTGATGAGATATGCTTGTTACGCTCTGATTCTGAGCTTTTTGATTGTGGTGATCTGTTGATATGTATGGCCACTTTTGGCTAGTTTATTGATGCTCACTATCAATTTCAGGAGACCTTTTTCCCTGCTTTCAATATTTTAGTACAATTTCAAATATATTAAATGAGTTTTTTGAAACTTAATATTAAATACTTGTTAGATTTTCAAGATGGAAATGTATGCTTGTTCCATTAAACCAACTGGTTCAAGTCACATGTTTATATGCAGTGATGAGCACATATCATGCAAGAAGATCCCTTTTGTAGGGTTTCTTCAATGAAATATACTTGTTACACCTGGCTTCAATGAATTTTACTTGTTATGCTTTTGTAGATTTCTATGCAGTGATGAGCTCTTGACGTGTAAGAAGAGTGCTTTTGTAGGGTTTCTTCTATGAAATATACATGTTACCCTTGGCTTCTAAGCTTTTTCCTTGTAGCTACTAACTGATATGTATGGCCAGTGGTGCCTAGATGCATGTGATGTGCCTAGATTCATGTCACATTGTACTAAATGAAGTGGCATCTTCTCATTGTTTTAACCACTTGTGTAATTCAGAGAATTGATTTGCATTTTCAAGTTGCCTTTTCTTTTATTAACACTCTTGATTAATTCAGCAAAAAATGATGCTGGATTTTATGATTAAAATGGGTTTCACTTTAATATTAAATCTGATTTTAAGTACCTGTTGAAATTCCATTTTAGATGCTGCCTGGTTTTCAGGTTGTCAAACATGACATGCTTTAGATGTTCAAAAAAGTGTATTTAATCATTTTTTTGTTTAGATATCTTGGTTCCGAGATTTATATGCAGTGATGAGCTGTTAACATGTAAGAGCCCTTTATTTGAAAACTGTATCTGTTACGCGTGGCTCCTGACCTTTGTCCGAATAATGATTTTTTGACATGTAGTATATATTTCTACTGATTGTAAAGCTCAAGTACAAACATTTACTTGCCCGCACAATACATTGGAGTGCAAGATGTAACTACTTCTCTCCAATTTTATCTTTCTGTGTTCACACTTATCGATTGCCATGCCTATGTCTTTTGCAGTGTCTATAGTCATCTTTCTTGCATGTTTTTCAATGGCATTGAGCTTGTTAATAAATTTATCTGTGTTTTGCTAATTGCAGGTGGCAGATAACAATTACAGGCCTGATCTGAAGAAAGCAGCCCTTGCAAGGTTGAGTGTGGTGCACAGGAGTCTGAAGGTATCCAAGTCTGGTGTCAAGAAGAGGAATCGACAAGCTTTGAGGAAATGATTTGAGAGTCCAATAAATAAGCAATGTTGTGCTGGACAATTGACACCAAAATCTTTATTTTTGATGACCTTTTTCTTGGGTGCTCTGGGATGTTTATTTAAGTTTTAGATGTCGAACTATAGAGATTTGTGATTTTTCCATGATAATTTCGTTTGCAGTTTTGGATGGTTGAGGCTAAGATTTCTCCACTAATATATGTAGTCAATTACATCTACAACTACATGACTGGTGTTGTAGAAATGATTAGGGGACTTGTGTTCTAATTACTCGTCACTATCAATTGAGCCCCTCTCCATGTTAACAATCACATTACCGCTTCCACGTGAATGCTTTTTGAAAACTAATCTCTCGAAATTAAGTTCTGCTTGCCCAGACCACGCCTTGGGGCTGAGGGTTGGCCTGTGCTGCGCTTGTTGGGAAATATTCGTGTTTGTTTTTGCCAGGCACGGGAGACTTGATCTGTTTTGCGGAGAGGGTAACTTCTCCTGTCTCTTGAATTGAAGTCGCATGAATAACGTGGTGGTGCAAGAAGCGGAGCGGTCCTTTGTTGTTTGCCTTCTATAGCCTTTTATTAAGGTGTCGGCCTAAAACCCTGAACGCGCGACTGCTGAGCTGCAGGCAGAGCAGAGTCTACATCAGGAGGGAGGGTGTTATGGGACGTGGACAGCTGCGCATGCTGGTTGATTTGATCACAACTTGCATCAATACTGTAGAGCATATTTGAAATTGAGTTGTACGATTATTTTTAAAAATATTTTTTATTTAAAAATATATTAAATAATATATTTTTATTTTATAAAAATTATTTTTAATATTAATATATTAAAATAATTTAAAAACATTAAAAATATTAATTTAAAATAAATAAAAAATAATTTTTTAAATTTATCCAAAAATATTTTTTAAATACAAAAATAAACAGTTTGAGACACTAAATGCTGCTAGTTAAATGTCAAAAGAAAAAAAGAAAAAAAATCATCTTATCGATTTTACTTTCAAAGTATATATTTAAACCAGTTGTTATGTACTAAGACTCTAGAAACTGGACAAGATTAGAATAAGAAGTACGATAAAAAAATGAACGATTCATAATAGAGAAGTCATTAATACTAAGAAACACAAACTACTATTTTCACTACATGCGGCTAAATAATAATGGGAGCTATATAACTTGTTATTTGAAAAAGTTTTTGGCAACACCAAAAAAATGGTTTTCCTGACTGATATGAACAATAAAGAAAATTCTCTAAGCTTTTCAAAATATATATTGGGTAACAAATTGGACAATTTCTGGTGCGGTGCAACAGGTAATAACTTAAAGGTTTGTGAAACTCAAAAATGAATTTGATAGCGTTGCTTAATTAACTACAAGTCGATATACCTCTCCTGTCCAAGAAACCTCTCGGTGCACGCCACAATCCATAGATTGAAATTGTGGTATGTAGAAAAAACCAAGTAGAGAATAATGTTGAAAAGTCAAGTCAATGATTGTTAGTTTGCTCCTCGGACGCCTTAATTAGAATAATATGTTACTTGCCTTGGTTTAATTCTCTGGAATGTCAATGGTCTTTATTTATATTTGCAGCATTGCTGCTGCTTTCAAAAGCAAGCAAAATCAACAACATTAAACATGTCTCTTAAGGAAACTCTTTCACTAACCGGCAAAGCTGTTACGGACGATCAGGTCTCGGCAAAACGCAGGAGGTCTGATCGATGGTTTTCATTCAAGGAGATATCGATAGAACCAGGAAAATCACTAAAAGACCTGGATTCAAACAAGTTCAAGATTGATATCAAGAGATGGGCCAGGGCTGTTGTGGCATATGCCCGCCAAGTAAGTAGCAGGTTTGGAAGCACGAGAAAAAGTAGCCGGATTGGAAGCTCTCGTGATTCATCACAGGACTCCATATAGTTGAAGATTTGAAGAACTGGGTACGAATTTCTATGCTTGATTCATGGCCATATCGAGAGTAAGATGTAAAATTTGTTTGATGCTTTATGTTTTTTTTTTTGTTTTAATTGTGACTCATTATTGTCCAGGCCCATCTCGAGGAAGGAAAACTGAAAAAATTGATGTCAAGCTACGAGAATGTGTTCAAGCAAGACAGGATCAACCTCGAGCGAGATCAGAGTTTGGTCCATCAGCTCGAAACGGAGGCGCAACTTGTGTGCAAAGTCAATATCTTGGAGATGGGGTTCATGTATACAACACTAATCGTTCTGATTGTCTTTTCATTCCATTTATAATTAATACGATCTGTTGATGATATGAAGCAAGTGGATTTTGTTTTTTATTTCTTCGTTCTTTCTTCCATTAATAAGACGACATTGAAGATGTTGGGGATGAACAGTGTCTCTCTTTTTCATGCGAGAGGCCTCCAACAATGGAGTGAAGACTCGTCATCTAGCGGCTAAACAAATTGTTGTGTTAACATTAACATTGGGGTTTCTAGATGGTGGCCAAAAATGCGAAACGGGTTGGAAGAAGAAAGTTTCCTCCGACCTATTATTGCAACTACCTAGGAAATGGGAGAGATTGGTTCACTAGATCAGGAGTTCGAGACCTAGAATATTTATTGGATTAACCAACTATTATTAAACAAATTAACTATTATTATCTTTATTGATAATAAGTGATATTCTAGAACTAGAAGTGGATTGGATATGAATGATTTTAATTAGGTATCTCCCTTAGGCCCCATTTGTTTGAAGGAAAATTGTTTCTTTTTGGAAAGTGAATTTCGGGGAAAGTGAATTCCGGAAAAGTGAATTCCGGGAAAAATGAATTCCTGAAAAGTAAAGTATTTTCCGATATTTGGTAGTGTTATGGAAAATGAACTGGAAAACACTTTCCAGTGTTTGGTTATGTCATGGAAAATGAACTGGAAAATAATTTATTAATATTTTATTTTTCTCGAGTTTATTAAAATAATAAGGAATAAATCTTACAAATTAAAAAGTTGAATAATAATGAAATTGAAAAAAAATTTCATAAATTATCTCAAATAAAATAAATAATAAAGATCAAATCTAAAAAAAAGATGAAGAAATTAAAATAATAATAATTAACATTTCATAAAGTATTTCAAATAAAATAAATAACAATCAAAAGAACGACGACCAAATTTGATAGAAAAAAATTTCAATAAAAAACTAATAGGAGAAAAGCAAATAACAATTATAAAAATGAGGACCAAAGTAAATATAAAAATTAAATTTTAAGAAATGAAATTGAAAAATAAATATTCAAAACAAAATATATATAGCAATCAAAAGTTTGAGGATCAAATTTGATATAATCAGCAAATAATGACATTTCTAAACTTTTCACAACTTCCGAAAAGTGTTTTCCTCTCAAATTTTTCAGGAAAACACTTTCCTGAAAATCAAGCCAAATTTTCCTTTGACTGGAAAGTGTTTTCCTTTTATCAACTTTCCTAATAGCAAACAAACACAAGAAAGTTTGGAAAGTGATTTCCCAGAAATCACTTTCTGCAAAACAAACACAAGAAAGTTTGGAAAGTGTTTTCCCGGAAACCACTTTTCGAAAAACAAACACAGCTAAAAAGGAAAACACTTTCCTGAAAATTAAGCAAAAATTTTTTTTGACTAAAAAATATTTTCATTGACCGGAAAGTGTTTTCCGTTGACTGGAAAGTGTTTTTTGTTGACCGAAAAATGTTTTCCGTTGACCAACTTTCCTAATGACAAACAAACACAGGAAAGTTTGGAAAGTAGTTTCCCGGAAACTGTTTTCTGAGAAACAAACATAGCCTAACACTATTAAGCTGTGTATCCAATATAAAATCTAGTGTACTTGTTATCCTGGGCTTCAACTTATTAGAAATTCACAATGCTCCATACATTAAATTTAAATTTATATGGTGGGACCATCATATTTTAATCGGCAAGAGGCGGCAGCTTGCCTCTTTTGAAAAACACAAATGATCACTGTAGCGGTAGCATGGGAATTAAAGCAAAAGAGAGGAGAAAAAAAAAGAGAAAAAAGAAAAGAAAGAAGAAGCAGTAGAGTAGTTTGTTTTTTTTTTGTGGAATTTTAACTTGTTTATTATTGGATTGGATTGAGATTTTGATACTAGCTTCAAAACACATCACTATTCATTCTGGATGGTTAAATCTAAGATTAGTTGTGTGCAAGCTGGTCGTTTTGATAAAAAACAAAGTTTTTAGTGTTGTGAGTTTTTCTCAAGCACTTCTTTATTTAATCTTGTTATATTTCAAGAATAGATTGTTCTTGATTATATATATGTTGTAACCCTTAGTTAAATTTGAAGAAGAATACTTGTGAACCCATTATTTGTTGATAGTGAAAGTTTCTAAATGGACTATGGTCCCATGATTTTTCTCACATTGGGTTTTTCATGTAAAAATCTTATTGTTAATTTGTGTGATTGTTTGCATTATTTTGTTGATTGTTTGATCATAATTTTGATTGCATAATGAGGAAAAATGATTGGGACTTGTTAATTATGAATTGTGATCCGGCTAGATTGTCCGATTATTTGAATCCTTTTCCCAACAAAGTGGTATCAGAATGCTAGTTGTGTAGATTGAATTTCTTATACAGTTAAAATAGAAAAGAAAGATTCAGATATGATAAAGCCTATTCCCTCCAATTATTTTCTATGAAAAACAATAATGGAGGATTACTTATATTTCAATAATTTGGCTTTGTTGCTTGAGTATAAAGAAATAAAGCCTGATGAAATGGATGAGGTAAAATGGAATGGGCTTAACAGAAAGATGACTGCTAATGTTAGAAAATGGGTATCCTCTAAGTCCATTAATTATATTTTTCAAGAACATGACTACTATACAATTTGGAAGATGTTGGAAGAAACCTTTGCTAAGGAGAGTGCATAAAACAAGGTTTTTATAATTAGAGACCTTGTAAATTTGAAGTACAAATATGGTGAAGATGCTTGGGTGCATATAAATGAATTTCAAGGGTTCCTGAATAAGCTGTCATTGATGAATCTTAAGTTAGCTGATGATATGCAAGCACTAATCTTATTGAGTTCATTGCTGGATAGTTGGGAGACTTTAGTGGTGTCACTTACCAATTCTACTTTGAATTGAAAGATCACTTTGAAGAAAGTGAAGGACAATATCCTCAATGAAGAGAAGAGGAGGAAAAGGACAGGCACTTCCGAGTCTTACACACTTGTTACAAAAAGTCAAGGGAGAAGTCAAAGTAGGTTATTTCATGGTAAATAGAGAATCCAGCAATAGAAAAGACAAATGGAAGCTAAGAGGAAAATCTTAGTCAAGGAAGAGAATTAACTGTTATTATTGTGACAAGCTAGGGCATATTCAAAAAGATTGTAAAAAGTATAAAAAATATAAAAAAAAGGTAAAGATAAAGATAAAAATTAATGTGATTCAACCATTAAAAGATCCATTGGAGGTTCAAGTTGGTCCAGTTACTAGGCTTTGGGCTAAGAAGTTCAAAGAAGCTTTCAATGGACTTCTTTAAGATACATGGGTTAATGTAGAATTCAAGAGGATTTGTAATAATAAAAAGCAAGTCTTGATTAATCTGATTCATGTTCAAAAAGGGTTGTTAGTGGAACCAAGACCATTATACAAGGATTAGGAGAAGAAGACTAGATTTGGATAGCTTAACCTTTCATTACTCTTTTAGTCATAACTAAAGCTACAAATATGATTTTGATGTGATTCTAGTTGAGATGGAAACTAGACTTCCATACCTTTCCAACGATATATGACACACCTTTTAATTCATTAAGACGAGATAGAATCGTTCATTTTAAGTTAGAATTTTGTTGCTGTCAAATAGAATGCGGAAACAACGAACTTGTCTTATTTAATTTGTTGGTCTATTAAACTTTATTTATGAGAGGAGACATTTTATTTGGGTCTTAGACTTATTTATGTTATTTATTTTAATTAGTTTGGGCTAGTTTTAGCTTGGGTTGATTATTATTTTATGTGAGACCCATTAGGAAAACTAGGGTTTTGGCTTGGAGTTTAAATACTCTTTAGGAATAATTTTAGGGCAAACTTTTGATGATATTTTCAACATTATAGCTGAATTTTGGTTACTCAATCTTGATTCTTCATTGAACTTTTAACTCTTTAAAAATTGACCATTCTTTGTTGTGAATTTATACTTTCTTTGCTCGTCTTCGGGTGTAGGCGTTGTGATGGAGTTGGTTTATAGTCTTGTTGCCTTATAGCAAGTCTTCCATTGTGAGAAGCTCATTCAAATCTTAATAAACTTGGATTAGATTGATCTATGGGGTTGTGAATTCCATTAAATTCTGTTAGGGTTTGCATCAATTGGTATCAGAGCAGATCTAATCACATGTTATATCCTTCAATTTGAGTCTTTATTATTTCTTGTTTGATTCTTGATAGTTTCAGCCACCTATAAAAATAATAATTAGGGATCTTACTTTTTATTGCTAACATAAATAAAAAATTGATGTCTTCTCCCAAGTGTAGGAGTGTTGAAGTAATAAATAACTCAGCAAGACCAGGGTCAAACCATGATTAGTACTTAAAAGTATATTTTTATCAAGGTTTTATATCATTATTTTGCACTTGAAGTATCAATAACTTCTTAACTAAAACATGTTTTATAATAACAAGTCTGATACCATAAGGTACCTTTAATTTATAGTAAATATTCATCCTAAATACAGGCCTATCATATAAATGAAATGATTGATTGATGAGTTAAAGTATTAAAATTGAAAGGATATAGAGAGGGCCAAACTTAGAAAAGAGATGCTGGTATAGTCCAAACTGGAATACTGTTTGGTAATTAGATCATATCTAGAGTTGTAGATCTTGGATTTAGGTTTGCTTTATATGAATGGAAAGCTAAGAAATAGGCCTAAAACTTTCATGTGGAAGTTAAGACTCAATTTTGCTGTTTGGAAGTTTAAATCTTAACAACAACATAGAAGTCTGAATTCATCCTACAACCTAGACATTATTCGGTGTTTAGCCTATATCTCGAGTTCTATAAGTCCAAATGACCTCAATTTTTTTTTTCTAGAAAGCTGAAATAATTTTCTAGAACTTTCATGTAGAAGTCTGGTTCAAATTCTGAAGTTATCAATGATGTTTTTGGCAGACAAAAAGATAAGAACTATCACCAAGTCAAGAGTTGGTCACTCACTTATCAATTAGTCATCAAATCAATAGTTCCTAATTTTGGCCTATAAAAGGAGGTATTTGCCATGCATTAAAGCATTTTGGTTTCCAGATCAAAATCATGCTCCTGCCTTCTCTGTTTGTATTATTATAATGCTTAATTTTTGCTTTTATTATTATCTTGTTTATGCTTTTC